TTGTGAGGATGGTGCAGGGCCAGGCAGCGTTTCGTTCTGTTGTGCACAAGGTTGCTATGGGTCAGAGCCAACCGGCTGGCACCCAACAATAACCAACGAAGGCGCCCTAGTGGCACAGTGGGCTACACTTTGAACTACCAACTCCAAGGGCAGCCATTCAAACCCACCAGCTGCTCAGGGGGAGAAAGATAAAGTTTTCTGCTTCCATAAAGACGTTCAGCCTTAAATCCCCGGGACAGAGCAGTCTGCCCTGTCGAGTGACTAAGAGTCGTAATCAACTCAGCGGCAGTGAGTTTTCTTTTGCGGGGGTGGGGGGAGTGGGGGTGTGCTATAGCCACTTGAGTCAATGGAGTCATTAAACATTGCATGGTCATCCATTTATGTTCCTCAATTATGGTCAGAGGGGAATACCAGAGGCTTATTCCCTGTGTAGATCCTGCAAATGCATCATTTTGGGCTACCCCTGTTATCGATAGCCTTTTCCAAACCAGAATCTCACAATGTAAGCTCTAATACTATTCCCTCCTTCGGCTCTAGGTTAGATCATTTACGACCTTGGGTCCCGGATGTTGGTGTGCTTTTGCATGTGGACTTAGTTGACATGTCCATGCTTAAACGACTGCTGGGATGGGAATACAGTGGAGAGAGGACTAGGGTGGAATGGACTGGACACCCTGACTTGAACGGTTAAAACCTACCCACCCCGTCTTCCCTCTGATACACTTTGGGCTTGAACTGATTGTCAGCATTTTCTGTTGTTGCTGTTGTTGTTGTTGTTGTTTTCATATTGGGGTTTAACTCTTCAGTGTTTCAGCATTGTGGGCACCCTTCATGAATCTTTGTTATCTACTTTTCGGTCTAGGAAACCCAAGATTGATGAACCCACAGAGACAACCATTCGAATAAGGGTTTCTGGGGGAGGGGAGGGGGTAAAAGGGAACTGATAATAAGTAGTTCAAGAAGGAAAAAAGGTCCGCGCGGAGGTTTATGGTGACTGTTGTTTTTTTTTT